TTTATGCATATAATTTTTATCTCTTTTTAAACATCACAAGCATTTCCACTATGCTGTGGAATACTCTTCATTAGCATGACTGCATACTAGCCTATTATAGTCAGACTGTAATTTATTTAACCAGTTTCCACTGTTAGACTTTCAGATTATTAAGCATAAATTTTGCCTGTATTTTAGACTGTTTCCTTAGGACAGATTCCCAGAAGTGGACTTAGAGGATCAGGGGACACAAACATTTCTAAAGCTCCTCACAGATACTGCCAAATTGCCTTTCAGAAAGCTGTTGCCAATTTACACTTCTAACACTGCCAGCATGTTTTTTCTACCAATATGGATCTGTGTAAAGGATAATAAAATTTAAGTGGAACATATAGTCCTTGAGTTATTAATGAAATTGGAGAGGCATAGTGACTTCTGGCACAGAGGCCTATGGCGAGGGTCATCTCTATTTCCAGGTATGCAGTTAACAGTGAGTTAGTGTGAGGACTCGAGACAGCAGATTTCAACAGTAAGACAATCAGATGTCATATGGCCAAATCCAAGGCTGGGAGCACTTTTGCCCACTGCTGTATTCCACATGTAGGACAGTGCCTGGCATATGCAGCACTCAGTACACATCTGTTGAGTGAATTAACACAGGATCTTCTTTCAGGTGGCTGCCGTAGGGTTTGGTCACTTCTGGTTCCTGGGAAACACTGACTTTCTGATCAAGCAGTCTTGTAAAGGTCTGCTCAATCCTGAAAGTCTACCACACCAATGGAAAAACAGTTCCAGTGAAGGCAACACAGTAAAGCTCTATTTAGGATAAATACAAACAGACTCATCTAAAAGGACACACCCTAGCACTGGTCACAGTCATTTATACAGTTGTTTTTTAATAAACTTACAAAAAATATAGTGTGGTGAAATCTGTCACCTCTATCTACAGCACATGCTTTAATAGGTGATGACATCAATGTATTCAAATGCTGCCCATGGTCAAGGCATTTCTGGTTTTTCGAGACAGGGTTTCTCTGTGTAGCTCTGGCTGTCCTGGAACTCACTCTGTAGACCAGGCTGGCCTCGAACTCAGAAATCCGCCTGCCTCTGCCTCCCAAGTGCTGGGCCTAAAGGCGTGCGCCACCACCGCCCGGCGGTCAAGGCATTTCTGAAATGACTAAAGTTCTCTTTCTTACTGCTCGTTGCATCACTTTCAGCATTGCCAAATAGGTTTTGAGCTAAACCACAGGAATAATGTAGAGGCAGTTTGTTTAATACAATTTTTAGTGAAAAACAATAAAATTCATTTTGTGAATCTGAATGTGGCCAAGCCCGGGTTCTCCTGGCCTCATACTCTTTCTAATGTGCCATATTTTCTAGGGAGTAAGTTGTGAGACGATGCCAGACTGACTTGGCATGGACAGTATTATCAGTGGAAAACAATCACTCACCTGTTATAAAGTATTTTACTCTCATATACATACTTTATGCACACTAGGTAGGGACGTGCAAACTATGGCCCACACTTAATGTAGTTTACCACTCTTTGTCTCTGGTCCCCACCTAATTTTTTTTTTTTTGCATTTAAAAATGACTGGGGGAGGAGATCAAAATATTTAATGAAAACTATGAAATTCCAATTCCAAGATCCATTTATAGTTTCACTGGAACGCAGCCACACTCATCTGTTTCCATATGAGTTCTGTCTGCTTTTGTACTAAGAGACTGGATGGCTCACAAAATATAGTGTTTCCTATACACAGTCTGCTGACAACTGCATTAGGCCCAAGTGGATCCCTGGAAGGCCCCCATCGAATTTGTTAATATGGGGTGAAGTGTGATACAAGCTGCACCACATTACTGGGATTGGACAGGGCAGAAACCACATAGCAATACATGGATGCCTGGGATAAGATGCAAAAGCCTAGAAAATCCAGGAGGGCTGAGCAAACTGAAGCTTCACCTGGAGACTGCAACTGCAGTGTGAACAGGCACACAGTTCAAAACCTAAGACAGGCTCGTGCTCATTGAGTAACCTGGGACCTGGTGAGACACTGTCCCCAGAGCCTAGCGAGACATGCTGGCGGCACATCTGGAAACAGCAGGCAGACTGAGCAGTGTGTGCGGCACAGTGGCAGCTCCCCAACAGCACTCTGCTTCCTTACTGTCTTCAAGTCATTTTCCATCCAGATTCTTCCAGGCATCTCCACAGCAAATGTGGACTAAGAACAGGAAATGGATCTGAAAGGAACACTCTAGAAAACAGGATACATTTCTACAACATTTCTTCCTAAAGAGAGAGCTTCCTTTTTTCCCTTCTTTTTTTGAAACAGGGTCTTTACTATGTTTCCCAGGATGGATTTGAACCCACACTTCTCCCTCAGCCTCCTACTGCTGGGACTGCAGGTGTGTACCACCATGTTCATCTTGATGTTGCCATCTTAGTCACTCAGCCAGGGACAAAATTCGGGAGACTACCATCTTTGTGTTTTTTTCCAAGTCACAGATTTGGTAAAGAGGTGACTCTTTGGTCTTTACTTTGGGGAGCATAAGAACCAAGATTAGAGGATGGGAGAAGAAGAGAACAGACAAAATCAGAGATGGGGTGTCTCTCCTTCGCAGGACCTAGTCCTCCTAAACTGACTCAGGTTCTAGGGGTAACCAAGCCATGAGGAACTGGTAATACTTGTTATATTGGGCTTGCTAATGGTGGCAGGGCTTGGCCACTAGCCTCTTTCCCATCCCTCCCTATCCCATTTCTTGAATATAGGAAGACAATTTAGAGCCAGGGCTGAAGAACTCTGCTCCAATTGGACCACAGCTTAAGTCATGAGCAGGAAGAAGGGCTCAAAAATCAGTAAGGAGACTTGTGTGAGTGGAAATGCATACCAAAACCTCAAGGATCTTCACACCAAAGACCCAGAGCAGACACACCTGGAAGGGTGGCCCAGAATCAGGAAACAAACAACAGGGAATCTGAGAACAAGGGCAAGCTAGACGAGAATAAAGCGAGTGTCAACATGGACACAGAGAAAACTCTGAGATATAGGACCATGGCTGGATCTGTGTCTACCAGATTATGAACCCAAGACAGCTGCAAAGTAAAGTACAGGACGGGACAGCAGGCAGGCATTTCAGAAGCACTGTTAGGTGGGAACTCTTTTGTCACTTAGATCACTATGCTCTCTGTTGGGTTCAGTGACAGTGTACAGCCATTTCAAAGTGCTTCGAACTAAGTTAGGGTAATAATTACACTTCCCCCAAACCTGAGACATCCTGCTGCCACTATTTCTGGGAAAGCCTTTTAAAGCAGTAATGGGCTAAAACGTCATCTGACAACTTCATGGGACATGACTTCAGGTGATAAAGTGTGTCCCTCTTCTTGAAAGCATTTAGAACAATCTGAATTTACACTCCTAATTACCTGCTTCTGGGTTTTCTGTGTCTAAACTCTTAACAGGGACCATTTTACTTCTGGCACCTTGAATTTCAACACTGGTGCCAGGTTCACTCTAGCCCTATTTACAGGATGAAATAAACACAGAAATAACTTCTCTCAGGACCTGTTTTATAATAAGTGAGAACTGGGAGTTGGGGCACATGCCTTTAATCCCAGCATTTGGGAGGCCAAGACAAGTGGATCTCAGGGAGTTCCAGGCCAGCTGGTGCTACATAGACTGTCTCAAAAAAAATAATTAAGTAAAACAAGACGGATATAAGACCTGAAGTGGTGGTTGTGGGATGCTGGGCCCAAGAACACAGTTCTGCAATGATTACAGCAAAGACCAGAGCAAAGATTAACAAATGTATCAATAATACTGCAATAGGACTAACTTCATTCTAAAAGTGTGGTTCCCTTGGCGGCAAGCACTTGTGGAGGATCCAGGCCTTCATCACACAGGAAGATTTCTTGATCTTGTATAGCAGAGATCTTGGAACTAAGCAGGTAGAAGTCTATAAGTTGCTACTTGTTTTAAGAGGGCTTTTTGTTTTGAAGTGTGTGTGTATGCATATTCAATTTATTCACCTTTATCTCATATACATTGGTGTTTTGCCTAAATGTGTGCCTGTGTGAGGATGTTGGATCCTCTTGAACTGGAGTTAGTTGTAAGCTGCCATGTGGGTGCTAGGAATTGAATGTGGGTCCTCTGGAAGAACAGCCAGTGCTCTTGACTGATGAGCCATCTCTCCAGTCTTCTTTTAAAATTCTTGCCAAATAATATATTTGTGAGACAAGACCTAGCTTTCTAGGAACTGTTTCCATTTGTAGAGCCTGCTGGGGGCAGGCAATGGCAAATTAACTATTCAAACAAGTGAGTTATTATAAACGTATCTGTAGACATAGGGGTAGCAACTCATAAACAGCTAGCATAAAATTAAGGGGAGAGGAGAAGAAGCAAAATATTTGATCTCTTCATGTGACTTCATGGTCTTGGCCCTAGTCTCATGGCTAAAATGTTCTAGGGTCAAATCTTTCTCTTGTGGCAGAAGAAACACCCAAAAGAATGGTGGTCTGAAGCACAGGAGAATGAAACAAACCTAGCTTTCCTGTCAGGGGGACCTCTGTGAGAAAAGTATTAGTGGTCAAGCCTGAATCATTTGGGCTAGAACACATCACTCAATAAATCGGCGTGTCTATGCCTTCTCTACCAAAACTTTCAGGCCCTGACTGTGAAGCAGGCTGAAATTGTCAGACTTCTTTTGGGGGTCCTCTTAGAAGAGTATGACTCCCTGGGCACAGAACTAATACTCCTAGCCTGCTTTTCACTGTCATGATCCTCTGGGGCAGTACAAGCGCAGGTGCAGACACTGAAGAGAGGAAAACTTGTTAAGCCAAACAAATCAAGAACAAGCTAGAACCAGAAGTCAATAGTCACAGCCCTCCAAAATGGTGGAGAACAGCAAGAAGAGGACCCCATAGTTTAGTACTTCACAAGACCAAGTGTGAAGGAGGAGCAAAAGACAGATGAAAAGCAGCTCAAGACAGCTTCTTGGCCAGGTTTCTCGACCTCAGGCTCCTTTCACCAGGATGTGAACCAATCACGAGCAACCTTGGCGGGGATGCTTGCTGAGGATGGTCCCTGCAGAGGCTGGCTGGCAGGGGAATGGCTTCTAGGATTCTACTCAGGTAGAGACATTTCCCCATCAGTTTTCTGCTACAGATAACCTCACATCTCAGAACTTGGTATCTTTTCCCTCACATTTAAGCTAGCGTTCCTAATTTCCTTTATATGACCAGACGGGCATTCAAACTTCCCAAGTTTAGGCGGATCCTTCAAAATACTCGCTCTAACTTTGACAGACATTTTTCTCATGTTTAGGTTTCCTTTCAGAATGAGTCTAATGGTTTCTTTATCTAAATTTAATTCTTCAGCTGTCCTCGCCGTTAACTGCTTGTTCGAACAAAGTCCTTGACCTTCTGGATATTTGCATCCGTCCTGTGGGTGACTGGACAGCTACTTCACGCCTCATCTCTGACATCTTCCCACCCTTCTTTAAACCTTTTGTGCCAGTCAAAAACTCAAGCCCTCGACATCTCTTCATCCCCACAAGCTTCTTTTAAAAGATGCGTCTTACTTGCAGACTTGTTCAATTTCACACAAAATTTGATATTAATTCTTTGTTCTAAATAGCGGTCATTCATTTTGGCACAAAATCATACAGGAACGTTATCAGGCCACAACTGTAAGAAGCCTGAAGTAAAAATCTCTAGGGTGCTGCTGGCCTAATCACGTCACTATTCCTGCTCCTCTGGAAGCCACCAGGGAAGTTATTGCTTTTCTGAGCCTTTGCCCTTAGCGTCTAGTCGAGGTGTGCGGCTGGCAAACTGGCACTAACCGGGTCACAGAGTAACTGAAAGGCAAAACCGGGAAAAACCCTCTACAACCCATGTTTGCGTTCAATCCGTGCGTGGAGTTTCAAAGCAGTCGCTAGGGTCGTCCTGAATCTGTTGCCTTTAAGAGTCTGCGGCGACTCATACAACGGACGCATGAATTGTGACAACTTTTAAACAAGCAGAGAAGACACAGCCGTGAAGTAACGTTCGAGCTCGACCCGGACCTGCGAAATCCGCTCAGGACAAACGTACCAGAGTAACCTGGGGTTGTGCTCTGGCGTCCAGAGAGACTACACCGCATGCGCAATTCCTTCCTTGGGCGGGTTGGGTTGTGCGCATGTGCATTGAGACACCGCAGCCAGCCAGACGCTCTTGAGTGCGCATGCCAACCCGCGGGGAAGGTCGCCTGAGAGGAGGGCGGGGGAAGGAGGGCTGAGAGAAGAGAGGGCACCCTCCAGCGCCGGGGTGCATTGTGGGAAGGAGGCGGCAGCGTCCCGGGCGGGCTGGAGGTGCAGCAGCGGCGGCGGCGGCGGTAAATCCTCCCGGCCGCACACAGCACTGTGGAGCCGCGGCCCCAGCCCAGCCTCGGCCCGCGCGCCCCTCCTGCCCCTCGCGGCTTCGCGCGCCAGCCCCTCCTCCGCGCGCAGCCTTGCGGAGCCGGCCGGCCGGCCCAGCTCCCCTCCCCGGCCCCGCGGGGCGGCCGCGCTGCCCTGACGAGGCGGGGAGGGGAGGGCTGGACCGGCCGGCGGCCGGACGACCATGCCGAACTTCTGCGCTGCCCCCAACTGCACACGGAAGAGCACGCAGTCTGACCTGGCCTTCTTCAGGTTCCCGAGGGACCCGGCCAGGTGAGTGAGGCGCGGAGGAGGCAGGGACTTCGGCGCACGTGCGTTCGCGGGCACCCGGCCGGGTGGGTACCACCCGGGGACGCGAAGGCGGATGAAATGGGCGCTTAGCGCCTTCGGTCGTCCGACGGGGTTCCTTAGCTGTCAAAGGAGGGTTAGACTCCAGGGCTGTGTTCCGGGGTTCCTACCTTCCCCCGCGTCTCCCGTCTCTTCTAGGACAGTGTTTCTGTTTGGAGTCGAGCAGATCACAACTGCTGCCTCCTTCGGACTTGTCATCACAGTGGTCAAATGCTGACCGTTACTCATTGTCTCCTTTGGTTATTGTGGGGACCGCAGAGGCTGCGTGTGAGGGTGTGGGAATAGGTATTGCAACTTCACTCTCTTTGGGGTAGCTTATAATCTGGGTCGTACTTTGAGAATCTTGAGGACTTAGTGTGATAGGCTGCAGGTGGTTCTCAGGGCTCTCATGTTGGTTCATTCATTTAAAAATCAGTGCTTAACTATGTTTGGAGTACTCATGTCAGGTGCTGGTGACTCGAGTGAATTTTGTTACAGACCGCAGAAAGCACCTAATCCACGGAGAGAACTGATCTATCAACGGACGTTTAATATTACATGATATTAATTAGTTGAACAAATATTTATTGAAAGCCGACCATTGGTAGAAATTGGTCTGAGTACGAGAGTAGGTAACATAAACTACATAAAATGAAAATCCCTCCTCTCAGAGGTAACATTCAAGCCTTGGGAAATTGGCAAGTAAAATATTTATAATAGCGTGTCCAATAATGAAAAATATCCTGAAGAAAAATACAGCAGAGGTTGGAAGGGCTTTTAGCCGGGGAGCAGTTGGAAAGATAGGTCAGTGCTGAAGAGCACTTGGACTAGCAGAAGGACTGGGTTCTGTACCCACATCAGGTGACTTAACCACCTGTAACTTCAGTTCCAGGAGATTACACAACCTCTTCTGGCCTTCGTGTGTACCAGGTACGCTTGAAGTGCAAAAACACTCATGCACATAAAAAAGCAGATTGTTTTTTTTTTTAAAGGCAGCCAGGCGGTGGTGACGCACGCCTTTAGGCCCAGCACTTGGGAGGCAGAGGCAGGCGGATTTCTGAGTTCGAGGCCAGCCTGGTCTACAGAGTGAGTTCCAGGACAGCCAGGGCTACACAGAGAAATTCTGTCTCGAAAAACCAAACCAAAAAGAAAAAAATTGTTTAGGAAATTGTTGTCCATGGAAGACATTCTGGCGTTCATCCTGAGTGAAGTGGGAGAGTTTGGAGCTGTGAGAGTTCTTACAGGGTTTCTGACTGTTGGTAGTTGTAGGGAAGTAAAGATGCAAGCAGGAGGACCATGGAAAGACTGTTGGCAGTAATCCAGGTCAGTAGAAGAGGATGAAGAGGTAAATGGATGCATTTAGAGAAGGTCTGAAGATGAAGCCAACAGGATCTACTATTAGTTTGGATGTAGGTTGTAAGGGGAAAGGGTCAAGGCTAACCTCTGAGATTATATATGTTATATATGGGTATGTGTGTATGTGAACATGTGGAGGCCAGAGGGCATCTGATGTCTTGCTCTATTACTCCTTACTCCTTCAAGAAAGAGTCTGACTGAACCTGTAGCCAGGTTCAGCCAACCCCAGTAGCCCTCCTATCTCCATTCCCCAAAGTGTTGGAGTTACAGGCACCAGCACAGTAACTCTTTCTCCGGCTGAGCCGTCTCTCCTAGACTCCTGTGGTTTTTTTTAACATAAAACAGTTACAGACATAAGAAAGGTTGGAGTATTAGTTTGTTCGGAAGATATTATAGATTTGATTTATAATGTGATGTCTGATAGGCTTGGGCAGGCATTCAGCCAGAGGATGGAGTTGAGCACTAAAGAACTTGATTAGCATGCATGAGGTTCTAGGTTCTATCCCCTGTACTGGGGGAAATATACATATCTTCATACCACATATGGGAATGAATTTCAAATGGCTGCTTTCTCTTTTTCTACCTTGTCATCAATATTTATCTTTTGTTTTGTTCTGTTTGTTTTGTTTCCCAAGATGGTTTCTCTATGTAGCCCTTAGCTGTCCTGGAACTCAACTCTATAGACCAGGCTGGCCTTGAACTCAGAGATCTGCCTGCTTCTGTCTCCTAAGTGCTGAAATTAAAGGCATGCATCACTATGCTTGGCATAGATTTCAATTTTAAGTTTACTTATAAACATGTATATATATTTGAATCAACCTTAGATGTGTGGTTGATAGCCTTTTAAATGAAATCTTTGCCTATTTAAAATATATTTATTTTATTCATTTCTTTATTGGAGGCAAGGTCTCATTCAGTCTAGCCTAGAATTCACTATGTAACCCAGGCAGGCCTTGAACTAGCAGCAGTCTTCCTGCTTCAGTCTCCTCAGTGCTGGAATTATAGACATGAGCCACCATGCCTAGCTTGTTTTGTCTTTAATACTTAGATTTACAGTCACTTGGAATTTGTTTTTGTTTATATTGTGAAATTACTAGTCAAGCTTTAGTTTCTTCATAAAGATATCTTACTCAGCACTGATTGTTTAAAGGAAAAAAAATCTATCTTCGCTGCTGTTCAAAGCTACCTTGGGTTTTTTTATTATTTTTTTTTAAAGTTTTTTGTTTTAGGGATTCAGTTGAATCAGTAAATCAGTTTGGGGGAAATAATGTGTTTATAGAGTTTGTTTTGTTTTATGAGCCTATGTACCTCTGTTTGTCTTTAGGAGAGACATTATACACCTTTCCCAAAATTTATTCCTAGATATTTGATATGGAAAGGCATAGGATTAATCATCTTCTGTCCCATACTCACTCAGTTCTTGCCATTGATACCAAAACACTTTTACCTTAGAGATACTATGGACAGCAGTGTCTGTGTGTGGCATCTCCAGAGATTAATAATCTAAAAACATGACTGTAGTACTTCGGCGTACTGTTTAGTAGTAACATATCTTTGTGGCTAATATTTGTTTTTTGAAGCAGAATGGTTATAATCATTTATAACTGTAAAATATTAAAGTATGGATACCTTAGGCATGGTTACTGAGTAGTATAGTACTTAGCTAAATGAAATGGTATATAATTTAGGTATATTGTTTTAGTTTAAGGTATGAAAATCATGACAGTCACTGTGGTTTCACATATTTAAGAGTGGAATTAAGTGTCAAGGTGTGTACCAGGGTTAAAATAGTAAGACCTAAGAGGAGCTGTGTGCAGTAGTGCACATCTTTAACCCTGGCACTCCTGGAAGCAGAGGCAGTTAATCTCCGAGTTTAAGGCCAGCCAGGGATACTTAATGAGACTCTGTCTCAAAAATAAAAGACCTAAGAGGATATATATGACTATGTTAATAGATATTATGCTTGTAACAATATTATATCCATTTTATAATACAATATAATATATAAGTAGAACATGAGTTTGCTTTCAAACTGGTGATACTTTTTCAACGGCAGAATTTTTGTTTTTCTTACCTTGGAATGAGGGAAAGATCTAGTTTCAACAGTCAGGGAGTTAAACATCTTAATTCTTTATTTTTGTTTGTTTGTTTGTTTGTTTTTCAGGGCAGGGTTTCTCTGTGTAGCCCTGGCTGTCCTGGAACTCACTCTGTAGACTAGGCTGGCCTGGAACTCAGAAATCCGCCTGCCTCTGCCTCCCAAGTGCTGGGCCTAAAGCCGTGCGCCACCACTGCCTGGCAGGAATCCATTCTTTTTTATTTAAGATTTATTTATTTTATTTATGAGTACACTGTAGCTGTCTTCAGACACACCAGAAGACGGCATCAAATCTCATTACAGATGGTTGTGAGCCACCATGTGGTTGCTGGGAATTGAACTCAGGGCCTCTGGAAGAGCAGTGCTCTTAACCACTGAGCCATCTCTCCAGCCCCCAGGAATCCATTCTTAATAATGCATATTTGCCTTAAAACTAAATTTGGATTTTTGAAGTC